CCTGCACGGGGCCAGCGGGGCTGTGAAGCGCTTAGAGCCAGGGGAAGGCACCTGGCGGCGGGCCCCAGCTCCGGCCCAGGGCGGGAGGGAGCTCCGGGAGCTCCTCCTGCTGCAGCGGGGCCCGGCAGCTGCCTGCGTGCAGGCCTGTAGCTGCCCCCCTCCCCTGAGGTCAGAGCTGCTGCTTTCATTAATCTGTTCCTAATGAAAGTCCATTTTGGCTCTCTCTCTCCAGTCCCATGTCATGCACGTTTCCAGATGCTACTGCTTTGTCCCTGGCTCCTGCTCTGCAGTTCAGTATTGGGGGGAGGAAACGGTTGGACAGCAGATCCTGCTTCAATTAAGCTGCAGCCATTAGTAATTTCTGAATGTTCATCTTTTCTGTAACTTAATTGGAGTGATGTAGCACTTCCAACCTAAGTAATGTTCAGTTATAGGTAATAATTGGTATCCCAGATGGGCAGGCCTTGACTGAAGCGGTGGGGTAGTTTATCATGGTAGGGGAATCTGGTTATTGTGGAGGTAGAGCATTGTAGAATGTGAGGTCGAACTATAAGGTTGAGAAAGAAAGAAACCAGTTATTATGGTTGCAAAGCTTTCTTCTGTGGTCTGGAAGTAAAGCGGTGGGCCTAATTCTCCTTTTTGGAAACCTTTTGCAGATAGCTGTCCTGTCTGGAATTAATTTAAAATGCTACTGCTAGGCTGAGATAGCAATACCTTCCACCCACTTCCCTCTGACTTTCCATCTACTGACTAAAGGCTGCCCTCCAGGAGACACCGAGGTTAGGCCTGCTTAGGCCTTGTCTCTGTTCATCTAGCTGAAATTGAGGGTACTGTTTTGATTAGCTAAATGTATAAGTTTAAGCTTTCTTAAACTTAGTTTGAGTTTGACTTAGCTTTCTTTGGCAATTTACTGAGTGAAGGTAACCAAATTAGAGATAGCAAATCTACTTAGCCGAATTAGTATAAATTTGCTTATAGAGACAAGGCCCTGGAAAGATGGTAGATATTGATGGTGCCACATTTGTCATTTTATTGTTGTTCAAATGCCAGGAATCCCTTTGGCTTCAATTTTGAAAAGTTTGCTTAGTAGTTTGACTAGGTGCCCTTGAAGCCACAGAATACTTTGCCATTGATATTGACTGTTAAGAAAGTAGTTCCTAAATCTGCTTAAAACCTAAGGGAGGAATTTGATGTGTGCATGTTGAAATTATTTCTGTTGACATCTTTAGGCACCTCACATTGGTCTATATTCCTTATCTCCAGGAATTTAAGGGTTTATTCTGCCGGATATTTTCTATCCTCTGATTTTTTGTTGACAACAATGATTAAAAATGAAGTGATAACACTAAATTTTGTGAGAGGCAATAAAATTGAGTTTAAAAGGAGATTGTCAAGGGATGTACTTGTACAATGGCAAAGCAGAAGAAATGGCTCCTTTGTGGGAACTGAGAGGATGTCTGGAACATGGCCATCATTCACGTTACACAAAGTACATCAAACTGTGCTAGGAAGCATCAGGTGGTGAGGGTTTTAAGGGTCTGTCTTAGGGTAAGAAAACTGATTATAGGACCACAGGATAAATCATGTGAGAAGGGAGTTCAGGGGGTGTAAAGGAGGGTCAGCTATCAGGCCAGACCAGGTTGCTTAAGGATTTATCCAGTCAGGTCTTGAAAACCTCAAAGGATGCAAAGCCTCTACAGCCTCATTAGGCAACCTGTTTGAGGGCTCTATTGTCCTCATGATAAAAAAGCTTTTCCCTGTATCTATTCAAAACCTTTTTTGATTTAATTACCAGAAGAAGCGTGTTTCTGTTGCTGGAAATACTTTTTCCCATGCAGGACCTGATATCTCAGGGGTACTGAGTGCTTCTGATTTCTAGGACATCAGTGGAAGTAGTGTGTCCTTTGTGCCAGTTAGGCTCCTCCTAATAGCAGTCAGTTTTGACCTTATGATCTAACAAGGGATGTACTTAGCTCTGTTCTTAAAAAGTAGTGAATAGCAGTGGTAGAAAGGGAGATTCATCAGTCAGTCTTGCAGCTAGCTTGGGTATCAGTTGTGTAACAGGATGGCTCTCCTGTATTTACCTGCGTTGGGGCAAGCTTTGTGGCCTGCCCATCGCTATCTAAGCTAAGAAGTTTAGTTGTAGCCTGGGATATTTTTACCATTCTGTTGTAACTTTGCTGTAGGCATACTTCTTAAAGGCTAATAAAACATTACAATGTCAGTACAAGATGAACTTTAAAAGGTGTTTCTGTTCTTTCCTCTCCTACCATTTAAAGAACCCATCAATTTGTAAACTTAAAAGGTAATCAATGTTCCTCCTAAACGGAATCATTGCTGTGGTGTTTAGAAATGGGCTATTAGTGGAGAAGAAGATTAATCCTGTGTGCTTTTTGTTTCCTCTTTATTTTTAGGGGTTGGAAAGACTACTTTAATCCAGAAAGTCACTCAAGCTCTAAAATCCTCGGGCATTCCCATTGATGGATTTTACACCGAGGAAGTTAGAGAAGGTGGCAGGAGAACAGGATTTGACGTTGTCACTTTGTCTGGAAAACGAGGACCTTTATCTAGAGTCAGGTACTGAGGTTTTAACAACTGTAAGTAGCTTATTGTTTTATGCTTCTGCTCCAGCCTGTCAGCGTGTTAAATGCTCCTCCAGAAGGTGATTTCCAGCACACATATGGCTTTCATGGTCAGGTTCTTTGAGAACCAGACTGCCTGACCTGGCTGATAGGGTATATAGACAGTGTCTCTATTGCGCAGTGAAATACTGAAAATGTACTAGAGAAGGGTGTTCTCTCTTGCTGCTTATTTTACACCAGATAGAGTGGAAGCACTGCCGAGCCTTTTACTGTGAGGCTGAGTCTCTTTTGGATACAGTCAGTAGCCTATTGAAGGCAGATAGGATTGTTTTTGTTTCCACCAGCTAATTTATGGCGACAGAAGTGGAAAATAAGAGGGAAATTGCATATAACATCATTTTAAAGAGCCACTGACTGGCCCACAAAACCTACATGTGAATTTTAAGAAAAAGAGGGCCTCAGAGCCTGACAAAGAGGGGGGCCTCTGAAGTGTAGAGAGGCTCACAGTTACTCCTGATTCACTAGACTTAGCTTTTCACACATTGTGCAAAACTTAGTCTGGATCCAGGTGTGATGTTAACACCTCATTCAGACATAGTTGATCTGACTAATTTGCATACTGCTAATAAAGGTCATTCACCTAGGATAGTGTGGTGCAGCAGATGCAAACTGTCTGAGTGTTTTTCCAAGATTGTTTAAGGGTTTTACAGCCCATGCTGAGATTCTGTCTGTAGTGCTGTGATGCTGTCTGTAGTGTCATGTTACCAGATTCAAAGATCTGAACTGCAGGCATGTATTTTGATTTCAGTGTAAATATACCTGCTGGCTTTTGGATCCCATTAACCTTCCGTACAGGGTTCAAATCTGAGCTTACGTAGCTGGGAAGGTAGCTTATGGTATATTTATTATCTTAAAGTATGCTATCTGCAATATGACTTAATGCATGGTTTACAGAGTTTTTTTTTTCCTTTTCTTAGAGGAATTAAGGAGATTTGACTTATTAGGATAACTTCTCATAAACCCACTTGAAATGACTGCAGTGAATTCTTGCGAAACTCATTACTTAGAAGGAATTGTCCATTAAAAAATATCTCTTTTTCATATCCAGTTCTGATTCTTCTACTTCAAGACGTGAATATCGAGTTGGACAGTATGTTGTAGACCTTGTTTCATTTGAGCAGTTGGTTCTACCTATGCTGAGAAATGTGAGTGTTCTATGAAAGCTGCTGAAAAATGGATGCTTTATGATAATCGGTGTTATTGGAAGGCCCTCCTATAGAGCACTAGTTTTTAATATTAATGAATGCCCTGTTTCTTGGGTTTTGCTGATTCTGATTGACTTCAGGATCAGGAAACCGGAGGGGCAGATCTGGCTTGTTCTCTTGTGCTTGTTGTGGTGTTTGAGAGATTGCAATCCCCTCTCATTCCCGATCTGACATCATCCTATGAGCAGGCCCTCCTTGGTCTGGGAGACAGCCGATAGGAAGTTTCTTCCTATGCCCTCATCTTACATATTGGAAAGCAAACAAAATGAATGAGTGGCTTACCACACAGAACTGGGTGGAGTCAGTGAGTCCAAGAAAAAGGCTTTTGCTGCTGCTTCTCTTCTTTGCAGCCTTTTATTCCCTTTTGCTCTGATTCCCATCTTCTTCCAGTAGAAGCATTTGTTTCTTGAATCCAGTGGTTATTTTTGATTACTACTGTATAAGTACCTGGAGACTGGTAGGTTTTAACTGATAATAGCAGTCTGATAATTTGGGATTTCACCTGCTGCAGGAGTGCTCTGACTGTGACAAGACTTTCCACACAGTATTTTTCCTATCCTTCCCCTAACATTCTGTTAGAACAGTGCAAGCGATATAATGATTATTTCCCTTTTTCCTTCTCCTTCCTCTCTGTCACTCCAACCTTTCCCCTCTCCAAAATTAAACAAGAACAGATCTGATTTTGGCAATAACATATTACAAACAGTGTGCAGCAGCTGCTGAGCTGTACTACTAAAAGAATTCTATTGTGATTTTTCTACACTGCCAAAGCTCAAGGGGCTAAGGAAGAAGGGACTTCTTAATGACCTTCGAAAGAACAAAAAACCAAAGAGGTGCAAGGAGCAAGAACAAGACTGAGGATGTGATTCTTGTTTTTCTGAGGAACATTAAAGTCTAAGAGTAGGGAAGCCAAGACGGGGGCAAGGGAGAAAGGAAATATGAATGGAACGGGACAATTTTTTTGGTGCTTAATTTCACTGTAAGTTAATTTACTATGTTAGTAAATAGGGTAGTTTAATAAAAAAGACTTCACTAAGCTACCACTGTACTCAGAATCCTTTTTCTGCTGCATTAATGTGGAGTCCAGGAGAGATCTTTCTAGAAGGGTGTTAGCAGTGTTGAATTTTTCTGGTTTTATATAGCTTTCTGCAAGTATAGGAGAGTGAAGAGAAGAAGAAAAGGGGCCAGCAGGATCAGACAGAGCATGACCCTGTTCTCATTGAAAATGCTGTTAATCAGTTTTGAGGGAACGTGGTCATGCATGTAGGTTGCACAAAATGGGAGAGGAGGAGAGTGAGGAATATCATACAACTGAAACAGGAGAATCGTAGGTATGGTCTGGTTTCATCAGAGAGCAGCACGGAGTGGGCACGTGCCCATGTAGTCTTGAGGACAGCTTCAGCTCTTAAGGCTTGGACCTCATTGACTCCAGTGAGAACACGGGTAGATCCTACAATGGATGATCTCTCTGGTTCTGGAAGCTTTGCCAGGCAGGACTGAGGATTCTTTTCAAAGCAAAATGCTCTGTTTCTGTCTGACCTGGTGATTAGCATTGGCTTTTTAGCTCACTGATTTATGAAAGGATTTTAGATAAAACAGCTGCTCAGCAGGGACTTAGCTTGAAAGGTTTTAGGATGCATGTTATAGAGTTCTTCCACTTTCCCAGGAGCAAATACTTTGCCTTTATAAGGGAAAACATTTCAAATTTTTTTTTTTTTTTTTAGGTTCTGTATAATGTGGCTGGTATCGGTATATATTCATGGATCTACAGTGATGTTTTGACTTGAGTTGATTTCCTCCTCACTTGTGTAAATAATGGCGTACAGTTCTCTATTACTTTTACCAAGAGAGGCTAGGCAGTACACTTCCTTTTCTGTTGAATAGTTCCTCTGCTTTCTGAGTTGCTTTTCCCTCCGTGATACTCACCCATGTTGTCTCCTAGACTTCCCTGCTGCTCACACCAGTCTGCAGCACAGTACTGTTTGACACAGTAAGCAACCACAAATATGGTTAGTCTTTATTATGATGCCTATTCTACAATCCAGGGCAATTGTAGAATAAGCTGCATCTTGACAAAGAAATGGAAGATGACTCTTCTGATGTGTGAGAGGCTTAGAAACAGCTTGGTTGTTATCCAGATAGCTTTGAGGAAAGCTAGTTGTTCTGAGAGAAGTGCTAGTTTTGACCATCCCTTGACCCAGCTACAAGAGGACAAACTCCAAATCTAGATTTAATACGAGTCTTTTTTTTTAATACTCGTGTTGAGTGGATATTGATTGATTCTAAATGTATAGTTTGATGGGAAGAGTGAAGTTTTGAGGCTAAGTGCAGTTCTTAATTGTCAAATAACTCGTATGGGACCATTGTGAGAATTCTGCTTTGAAGGAAAACTGATATTATGGATATTTCCTATTGTAGTAGGTATTTATGTATGTATATTCCCATCTTTCGAAAAATCTGTGCTGGAATAGAAATGATAGATTTATATGTCTGTCAGTTACCAGCAGCAGCTTTGACTCTTCCACTTTCCCCAGTATTACAATTGAATTGATTTCTTTTGGAGGTATTTCTTTTATTAGCATAGAAATTATTTCTATTGCTTGGTTTAAGTTCTGTTGTTTACAGTCTCTCGATGCCCTTTTCCACAGGTAAACCATGGCAGTGATGCAGAGAAAAAAGTTTGCGTCATAGATGAGATTGGTAAAATGGAACTCTTCAGCCAGGCTTTTATTCAAGCTGTTCGTCAGACGCTGACTGGCTCAGGAACTGTGGTACTTGGAACTATTCCTGTACCTAAGGGAAAGCCACTGGATCTTGTTGAAGAAATAAGAAGTAGGAAAGATGTTAAAGTGTTCAATGTGAGTAATATTAAATATCCTTAAAGAGCCTTCTGTTCTACGTTGCTGGTTTGAATTTGGCTCTGTTTAAAAAACTAATTGTTAATACCAATTGATAGCTGTGGGTAGCCTGTACGAAATAAGTTTTTTAGTTTCCATTTTATTCTTAATGGGCAGGTGTTCACCTTAAAAAAAAAAAAAAAATCCCAGTTGGCACTTACTGTAGAAGTCTCGCACAAAGCTGGCTTTGCTTGTGAGGGGCTGTAGAAGTAATGATATAGTTGTTTTAAAAGGTTTTCTTGCTGTAGTATTGTTGGCGTATAACTATTCATTATTCCTAAGAGTTAAATCTTTCATAGTACAGTCAGATTTAATTATTTTTTTTTCAGACTGGCTTGCAGAAATATTACCAGTAATCATATTCAGGAAAAAAAAGGCAGCAGTGGAGTTCGCAAAAATGATTTCTAGAAGACAGACACTTGTAAATGGAGTATGCTTTCTCTGGAGTCAGTGAACCGATTTTGGAATTCATTATGTTTTTACAGACATAATTTTTAGAATATTAGAGCCTTAGAGTTCATTTCTGATCAGTTACAAGGAGGCTCTCAAAAACTTAACACAACAAAACATAGCTTGTTCACAGGAATACATGAGTAAGGTTTCCTTAATATCCGTAAGTGTCCTGGGTGCTTCACAAAAACAAGCTAAACACAGCCCCCACTCCTTTGATTTATTTTTTCTGCTCAGTGTGTACAATTTGTAGAATAGAATAAAGCTATGTATCCAAAACTGAACTCTACATCTCTCTAAATTATAAATTCACTAAGCGGGACTTACATATCCTGGCTTACTAACAGGGGTAATATGCTGTAGAGCAGTATACTCTTGCAGCCGGTTCTTTATCAGATGCATGTCACAGTGAGAATGCTTACTTTCTTTCATCCGAGTGAATGAGGAAGGAAAAAACACTATGCTGAATGATCTCAATTACTGCAGAGAAAGCAAGGATTCCATCTTCTTTTTTCCTCTTTGTGTCAGTCATAGCAAGACAATAGTGTGCTTTTTGCCCTCTCAGGGGAGGAAACAGAGTGCAAGAAAACAGCATTTGGCTTTTCAAGGAAGCTTCTTTTTATCAGGTGATGTTCTGAGGGCGTGTGCTTCTCAGCCTCAGGTTGTTAGCTGTGTCAGTCTGCCCATCTATCTTTCTTTTAAGTCCTGCCTACAGCTAGCAAAAGTCTTCCTGTAAATTTCAATGCAGCAATGTTTTCTCTAGCTAAAAAAACTTTACTAAAAAAAATGAGCCATCCTGTTTATGCTGCTGAGATTAGGACATGCAGGTTTCTTTATTTAAACAGAGTTCTCTGGTGAATCCGTTAGCCAAAATTATGGGTGTGGAATGTGCGATGGACTGCAATAGTTCCAGGTGGCAGAGGCCTGCGATGTGAAGGTCTTGTGCAGGAGAATGTCTGTCTCGCTTGCTCCAGTGACACACTACGTGCTCTTTCCCAGCTAGTTAAAATGTGTGCATGAGCAGGAACAGAACCTGCCTGTGGGGAGTCAGAGGTGTAAATACTGGATCACCAGCTATGTTCTCCAGGGGCTGTGGCATGGGGAGAACCTGGAGTGCCCAAATAGCTCATGGTCAGTAATTTCTTACTAACTTTTATGTTGCTTGGAAGCGTGCAGAAGTAGGTGGCTACCTTCCAAAAGAGTTCTGCCTGCTTTGACGCTTAATACAGAGTTATTCTGCATTCAAGTTACTTAGCAGGGTTTTCTCCTCTTTCTCTTAGTGTCACAAGGACAGTTCTGATGTTGGACACTGAGTGCGTAGACACAGCTGTTCGGGGTTTTACAGTCCCATCTAGCTTGAAAGCATATTCAGTTGGTGTAAATGGGCCCAGATGCCCTAAAAGCAGTTGAGGATTTGGTCCCAAATGTTTAATTTATTATGTTTAGAGCACTTCACGATAGGAGCTCTGATATTTAACACATTTCTTCCATTGTTGCCCAATTCCATTTTGCTGAGAACGAAACTTCCCAGTGAAACTACAGAGGCTCTTTTTGCACTGCCCGGGTCTGTGTAGTTTTGCAGACACGGTGTCATAAATAGGATCAGATTATCCTTAGGAGATGGCCCATATTAATTTTCTCCATTTTCCCATCTATTAATTTTGCTTCCATGAAACCCATTAGTGAAGTTTGGTTGCATATGCCTTTTAAGAAAGAAAATAAATAGTTAAATGAATCAGAAGAAGAAAAGGTTCCATTTGAACAGACTGTACAAGAGGGGTTTCCTTGACAGTACTTTAACAGTTAGGGGAAGAAAGCTTTTGTCCTCTACTGTTTCATGGAGTCTAGGTGGTAGTTTCCTCTAAATTACCTAAATGCTTAGTATAAGCAGCATCTACAGTTATTTTCAACTCCCTGTCTAAAAATCTACCCATCTGTTTGTACATTCAGTACAGATACTGGGAGATTTGTTCTCTCTGGGAAAGCTGCCTGCACAGAATGTCTCCAGATCTTAGGAGGAGACTTATATCTATCAACCAGCCTTTGTAAAGCAGTTGTGAAAATTTCCCAGCACTTGGCAGTTTCTCTTTGCTGTTCTCACTGGACTTCTGGCATGTAGGTATGGAAAAGGGGTAGATAAAATGTAGTATTGTTTTTGTTGGCTGTGAGACAGTGGGAAGAGCTATTCAGTGTTCAGAAGGTCCTTTGAAAGTCAAGATATCAGGACACTTGCTGTGAGATTTAGAGTTTGGCTGATCTATGCTCTGTGCCTTGTTTACCTTGGGGTCTCAATAGCCTTACTGAAGAGCAGTTCCATTCTTTGTTGTCTTGCTCTCTTTGTTACTGTGGAGTTTTCTGTTTTTCTTATAATAGGCTTGGAATGATACTCAATAAACAGCAACATTTTCAGGCAGATCTTCCCTTTCTTTCCCTTTCTTTTTTTTTTTTTTATGTCACGTTTTCATCAATCCCATGTTGATCTGCTCTCCTGAATTCAAGTGGTGTAGGTGAGACCACCGTCAGTGTTGGTTTCCAGCGTTTGGATAGGATGTCTATGATTAAACAGCAGTAGGCTCCTAGGGCCAAATTCTTCATGTAGGACTGTCACCTATTTAGAAATACTACTACTAATAGTAATACTTTCTCCTGTTCTGTATTGCCCGTAGTACTGGAAGGGGTACAAACCCTTGTGCTCAGATCTTAAATGCAGCTACAGGGAATGCAGTGAAACTTGCTGGTAGAGAGTTCTATGCCATGCATAGTGTGGTGTCTCTCCCTCCTTGTCAATATTTCTTAAACTTTGTTAAAAATATGAATGCCTTGCCTTTTTTTTTTTTTTTTTGGCTCATCTGCCTTTGTCTGATTTCTTCCTGCCCTCTCTGCAGGGATCTGAACAGTGGGAAAAACTTCTTAGCCTTTTTAAAATGAGGCTATTGCTGACACTTCACAATTGCTTGTTAACCCTTTCACCACTTCAGCCATCTCCCCAGAATTTGAGTTAGTAATGCGTGGCACTGTGGGCTCTGGATAAGGTCCCAGTCTATCAAGAACGAGTAATTTACACTCCGCCATCCTCTCCCTGCCCCCAGCCAGCTCTGTGCTCTATCTTTGCTGCACCTGGGAACTGAGCTGACTAGCAAGTGCTAGCATTTGCTTGGCAGTTTACAGTAATTTGCACGTGCTGCAATGCAGATGGGCCCAGCAAAAGACAGGACACTGGACCATATGGATTTTCACGTGTACCGGTCTTAAAACCCAACATTTCCATGGACTGGTCAACCAAGGGCATACCTCAGTGTGCTGTAAAAGCTCCCCAGCTTTCTCAGGTAGTCTTACTTCTTCTTGCAGGTGTTTCTATCCTGCAGTGCTAAGGTTTTGCAGAATACAGAGTTGTGCTGCCCGTTTTATTTTTTTTTCGCTGCAGATGCTTTTGACTAGGTGTGTCATCCTAATAAATACAACCCTTTCAAGTACTGAAGGCATAAGAACTCCACTTTATAGTAGGAAAATTATATTTGGTAATTGAAAAGGATTTCTAGTAATGACAAAAGTACACGCTGGTTCTTCGAGTGATTCTTGTTAGTTACTCAAGCTCTGGATAATACTGCAAAATACCATGGGTAATTAGATCAAAAGGATCACTGAATATTCAATTACATGTGCAGGTTTGTGGGTTTAGCTTATTGTGTTCTCAGTGGCAGAAGGCGGCAGGTGTTTGACACTCAACATTCCTCCACTGAGAGAGAAATGCATTTGAATTTCTGCTTTGTTTGTTTTTGAAGTAAACACTGATATAGAGGTTATTCATCAAATTACATCCATTTTAATTTCTCTTTCTCTAGGTTAGTAAGGAAAACAGAAACAGCATTTTGCAAGACGTCTTGGCAGCTGTGGAATCTTGCAGAAAATGAAGACCTTTTTCTTGTAAACACTAAAGCTTTTATTTTAACAAAACATTACAATGTTTTGCAGATGTTTTTGAGTCTATCCTTCCTGCTTTAGCCCCTGGAGGCTTTCCTGGAGCCTTCGGGGTATGCAAGGTAAAGCTGGTAATACTCTAAAATGTGAAAATGAGATAGCAGGATTCTTGTTTATTCCGTTCACAAGCCGATCCATTAAAAAAAAAAAAAAAAGAACAGATAGGTGGTTAACCTCCAGGTCTAACCTGTGTATTTGAAAGTTAGGTTGTCTGACTCTGATCCTAATTACATCATGTAACAGCAATTAACTGTCAAATCTGTTGGGATCTTAGTCTTTCAGAGTGTGGTGTGGACTGTTCTGCCTAGAAAGCAATTCAGCATCTGGAACGTAGCCCTGGTGTAGCAGAGCAGAACCCTGCCCAAAACGAATGTGTGCTCAGCCTGGCTTATGCAGAAACATCTTTGCTATCAGTGACCCAGCTTAGGTGTGTCGAAGTGTGTTTCAGTGTGGGTGCTGGCAATTCATGAGGTAGAAGGAATAAGCAGCTGCTCTCCCCCTAACACCAGACACACCGCTCTCCAGTTGCAGTATGAGAGGGGTTATCTAGAATTTCAAGGAAATGTCCTGTAGTCCCAAGTGACATTTATGGAATTCCACTTCAGGAGGAAAAATAACACACTCTCCCCTCTCCTAAGTGGCCCAGACACTAGTTGATAAGAGGGCTGCATTTTGGGTTTATTTTCAAGTTTCTGATGGCAATCCTGCCTCGCACCCCCTTAAAAAACATATATATAAATTTTTAAGTCCATGAAGTTCAGTCAAATCTTGACTTGTGTTTTTCATGCAGAGTTTAAGTCAGGACTGACTTGATATGGCATTTCTCTATATGGGTTTTACAATCTGTTACATTTACTGATACTTTTTGTTTGGTTGGTTTTTTTTCCTTACGCAATTCTGTACATGGTTAATGGTGAAATAAGAAGTGTTGGAGAGTATTAGACAATGTGTTTTCCCTATGAGGTGTGCGAATGTGTTCAGGAAAAGTGCTACCACTTAATCAGTTTTGCATGTTGTGAAAACAGAATTCCCTCCCAGGTGCATACACGTTCATTCTGTGATTTATAGTCATCTCTGGCTGTAAAAAGTTGTTAAGAATTCAGTTGTTTCTTAACTTTTTTCTGTTCAGCTCAATAACTGTTAAAATGAGCAAACTATTTAAAGGCATTTTCAAATATCATTTGAGTTATTTATTTCTGTAAAACTGACACCCAAAGCTGTACAGGGCTGGATGGGGAGAAGCATTTTTACAGGTGCCGTGGAAACAGTAGGCAGTTAAAGGATGCCGTGGCCTTGTTCCCTGACTGCCCATTACGCTACCATTCTACAGTTGAGTCTTAAATGAGAACTGACCTTTAAAGCTAAATAAAACTGAGATATTTGACACTTCTCTGTAGAGTCTGGGGAGGTGAATTACTTCAGGAGTGATGGCAGAATTCAGTATTCCAAATTCCAGTTCAACCAGTACCACTGAGAGTTTCATCACTTTAAGTGGTGGTTGTTCTTCGTAAGAGCAGGTACATTGCCCTGCCTGTAATGCCATGATGCCTACTGTAGTCCCATTATTTAACAGACGGGGAAAAAAAAGAATCATAACAACAGGTTTGGGGGACTTTTGACCATTGTGCTTATAGTACTTCTAAGCCATTGTCTCATGGTGCAAGGAAGACCTTTTGTAGTGAGGGTAGTTAGTCACTGGAAGAACTTCCAAAATGGAGGTGCGTTTTTCCTTTACTGGAACTGAATGAAGTATCAGCCCTTTCACATCAAAGGGTATTTTTGCTACTGACATCAGTGGCTCTTGCTTTCTGCTACCTATCTCAAGATTGGTGAGAGTCTCTTTTAATTTGTTGTTGTTCTTTTTTAAGCCCATCTTCTCTTTGACCTACAGAGTGCTTTTCAAGAGAAATGTTGTGATCTGTGTTCAGCA